TTTTAGCAATTACATGTTGATCATTGGTGCACAATTGTACTATTTTGTGTCTTTATATTTTTCTTGATATCTTGCTTTTTTCTTTTCTGTGTTCTTCTAATTCAATGTCCTCAACCTCAACAATTTTAAAACTGGTGAACCAACTCCCAAATGTCTTTGAATTTATCATGATTGTTTTTATAATGACTTTGGTGTTATAATTTTATATGATTGTTTTGTGTTGCCCAGAATCACTTTTACTGAAATGGAAGCTTTATAGATAAGATAGTTGACAGAGATTAGATAGATAGATAGATAGATAGATAGATAGATAGATAGATAGATAGATAGATAGATAGATAGATATAGACAGACAGACAGACAGACAGACAGATTATGATGGTTTTATATCTTGCTCAGTCTCGCCTTTGATCCAAGATGGTAAACCAAGAAATTATACATATTTCAACTAGCAGAATATATGTTCATTTTCTCCCCCTACTTAGAATCTATCCAGACAGAAATTAGCATATGAACTAAAATTAGTAGTGAGAGGGGAAGGGTGAATTTTCACACAGCTCCTGATTAAATTATACTCATCTATTTTCTAGATTCACACAATATACCTAACCAGCCTGGATTTGCTGAACATGCTATATAAGATAACCAAACATAACATGATGTATGAACATAGCCACTCAGGTAGGTAGCTAATGTCCCATTGTTTAGGTTAACCATGGCAAAACAATCATTTTCCCAGAAAGTATACTGATTTCTGAAGTTCAAAAAGTAGATCAAGATACTGGTCTGTTTTTTATTCTTGGCTTTGGGCACTGTAGTTCTAAGTATGTTTCCTATTTTAAAATAGGCATTTAAGGGGCATCCTTTTAAACTGTTGCTTTGGCTTTTATCAACCAAAACAATATTTGGATATTGGGGGGAAAAAAATATCATTTGTGAGATTTAAGAAAGGGAAGATTGCCCTCTGCTGTTGATTTGAGAAAAGGCAACTAGGAACAGTAAAGGAAAGAAAATCAGGTATAAAAGTTACTTTGTAGAAGAGGATCCATTCCTCCAATTTTCTCTTTGTTTAATGTTTAAGTAAAATGGTTTATTATAGCAAGGTGTGGAGGGCTCCAGTAATGAAATAAGTATACAATTTAGGGTGTATTGTTCACGGTGCAATTACAAGTTTATTGTTCTTAATCTGCCCAAAGCCAGTCTATGAACTTTAAAGATTGCAAAGAAACATAGTAATAAACGTGCAATTAACCAAGGTGGTATTCCATTTTTGTTTTATTCGGGGTGATATACAAAATACCAGATAGATAACAGGTCGATGATAGATATTGGATGGTGTTGTGGTTCGCCAGCAGCCTGTGCAGACAGGCAGCGGAGTCGGACAGTGAGTAAGAAAGGGGACCAGTCCAGGAGTCTGGAAAGGACTCAGACGAGGGTCCTGTATCCGATGCAGAGATGGGGCCAGGATCATCTGGGAGTGGGGTGCTGACTCTGGAGCCTTCGGAGTCTGGCAGCAGTGAGGCAGAGGAACAAGGGGAGCCTGTCCCCAGTGCGTGTGTGCACAGAGCTGCTAGAAGGCGAGAGCAGCTGAGACAAAAGGGACTTGGGAGTAAGGCTTGGAGGTGATTGCCCCTCCCATAAGGTATGAAGGTCAGGCAAAGATGGTGAAACCTTTGCAGGAAGCAAAGTCATTCGTTTGGTTCGGATTCATTCTCTTTGTACTTCGGTTGTTTTTCCTAGTTCATTTGATACTTCTGTTATTGGCAGCACTTCACAGAAAAGAAAGGTGGGTGCTTATCTCGGGGGACTGTTTGAGATTCATTACTGACTGGGAATGAAAACAATTCCCAGCGTTGCAATAAAATAAGTCTTGTTTTTAAAATAAGCGTGTGCGTAATTACAGTTTAGAAAGCCTGGGTCAGAACGGATGGATGGATGGATGGATGGATGGATGGATGGAGTCAGACAGGTAGTTCTCAATTTACGACCACAATTGAGCCACAAATTTATGTTGCTAAGTGAGACTTTTTCCCCATTTTGCAACTGTTCTTGCCAGAGTTGTTAAGTTAGTAACACGGTTGTGAACCTGGCTTCCCCCATTGGCTTTGCTGGTCAGAAGGTCGCAAAAGGAGATCACATGACCCTGGGACACAGCAGCCGTCATAAATATGAGTCAGTTGCCAAAGGCCTGGATTTTGATCACTGCAAAGATGCTGCAAAGATCGTAAGGGTGAAAAAAAACGGTCATAAGTCCCTTTTTTCAGTACTGTTGTAACTTTGAATGGTCACTAAGTGAACTATTATAAGTCGAAGCCTACCAGTAATGAAAACTGCAGAAAAATCCATAGGAGGATTGCAATTTGAAACGTGAGAGAGCTGGAATGAAAAACCCAATCTCATTCAGTGGAAACCCCTTTGCTTTAAGAAGAAGAAGAATTCCCAAGTGTTCCACAGCTGGAGATCAAATATATTTCCCCGGGGGCTTTTATCGTGCTTTCCCTACTCTGGGCAGATTTTAGCATCCTCTTTGCGGTTCCTCTATAAAGAGTTTCAAAATAAAAGAGAGCACTTAAGGAACCAGGTGACAGAGACTGTTTCAGGTGCAAAGGTATAGGGAGGTTGGGGGGATTTCAGGAGAGGCAGGAATTTCCTTTGGAGGCGAGTGCAAAACTCACACTGATGAATAAATGTCAGCGAGATAAGCTGCAGCCCTATGGGAAAGATGAGGAGGTGGATGGGGGGAGGGAGGGAAAAATCAGAGAAAGGGGGAATACCAATTCCAGCTGCTGCTGCTTCCCAACATCTTGCCTACAGCTGGGCGATTCAGATAACACTGCCAAAAAAGTTAAGGTGTCTTTTTTTTGGTGAAATGTGAGGTATTTTTTTTTTAGGAAAAGGGGTTTGTTTTCTTGGCAGGTGAAACTCCAGGCAGGCCTTGCCCGAGTTTTCTAACGACCAGAAAAAAACAGGCATAAATTTGCATCTTTTTCTTCTTCTTTCCATATACAGTCCTCGATTTACAGTCCTCATTTAGTACTACAATGGTCGTAAGTGTGAAAAATGGTCCTAAGTCACTTTTTTCAGTGCCGTTGTAACCGGTCATTAAATGAACTGTTGAAAGTCAAGGACTGCCTGTATAAGTATAGCTTGTGCCCTCGATTGTAACTCAACAGATTGCAACCTCACAAATCGCCCTTATCATTACTGCCACCCCCCTGATTACAATTACCATCACTTCAACATCTGGAATGAAAATTCTCTTAAGTTTTCTGCAGAACCTTTTCTTTTCCTCCAGAGGGCTGTCCTCCCCTCCAGCTCCCTACATGACTGGGAAAGCGATGGGTAGGGCATCCCACATATTCAACGGTTGGCTTTGGCCAGCTTCCAGTAAGGCTGTTTCCAGCAAGTGCAGTAGCAATAGCACTCTTAGACTTATATGCCGCTTCACAGTGCTTTTACAGCCCTCTCTGAGCGGTTTTACAGAGTCAGCCTATTGCCCCCAACAATCCGGGTCCTCATTTTACCCACCTCGGAAGGAGGGAAGGCTGAGTCAACCTTGAGCTAGTCAGGATCGAACTGCTGACAGCGGGCAGAATTAGCCTGCAATACTGCATTCTAACTACTGCGTCACCAAGGAAGGAAGGAAGGAAGGAAGGAAGGAAGGAAGGGAGGGAGGGAGGGAGGGAGGAAGGGAGGAAGGAAGGAAGGAAGGAAGGAAGGAAGGAAGGAAGGAAGGAAGGAAAATAGCAATAGCACTTAGACTTGTATACCGCTTCACCATGCTTTCCAGCCCTCTCTAAGCGGTTTAGAGAGTCAGTGTATTGCCCCCAACAATCTGGGTCATTTTACCGACCTCAGAAGGATGGAAGGCTGAGTCAAACCTTTAGCCTGGTCAGATTCGTACTGCCAAATTGCAGGCAGCCAGCAGAAGTAGCCTGCAGTACTGCATCCTAATCACTATGCCACCATGGCTCAGTATGAATAATTGTCCAATTACGGTAAGTGAAGAAACTTCCAGATGTATATTTCCTTTCATACTAATCCAGGCCTCTCTTCCACATCCCAGAAAGGCCTGAGGATGGAAAGGATGGAGGGCTATAGCCTGGCCCTTCTTTCCTTCCTTTCACAAAATCGTCCTTCTTTCCTTCCTTCCTTGTTCTCACAAAATCCTCCTTCCTTCCTTCTTTCCTTCTTTTCTTTCCTTCTTTAGTCTTTCCTTCCTTCTCTTCTTTCTTTCCCTTCCTCTCTTCCTTTTTTCTTTTTTTCCTCTTTTCTTTCTTTTCTTTCCTTCTTTCTTTCTCCTTCCCTTCTTTTCTTCTCATTTCCTTCCTTCCTTTTCCTTCCTTCTCCCTTCCTTCCTCTTTTCTTACTTTCCTTCTTTTTTCTTCCTTTTTTTCCTTCCTTCCTTTTCTTCTTCCTTTCCCTCCTTCTCCTTGCTCTCTTTTTTTCCCCTTTCCTTATTCCTTTCCTGCAAATGTTTCCGATCCTTCACCTGGAAACAGAAAATTTGCAGGAGATACAGCTTGAAGTTTCTGCTTTTCCCACATTATGATCCCTCATATTCTTCTCTTTTAGACTTTCCTGATTCTTGACAGTGATCCGTTCACAGGATGATTAGCTAGCACTCCTTAATTGATTAATTAATTCTAATTAATTAATTAATTCTGGTTAATTCTAGCCCTCGCGTCCTAGAATTTTTAAAAAAGTCATTTTGCACTTCCATCCTCCTTCAAGGAAGATGCGAGGGAGCGCCAGTACGCATGCGCGTGACAGCACCCTTCCTTTCCCCCCCCTCCAAAAAAAAAAAAAGCACCGGCTTTGTAATCCTCACTACGCGTGCGCGCCAGAAACCCGGAGAATAAGTACAGGAAGCGCCTGCGCGGACCAAAGTAGAGGGGCGAAATCGGAGACTGTCAACTGCGCCTGCGCTGGCTGTCCAGGTGGGTTTCGCGCCTGGTTACCTGGAGCGCGCTCCTGGAGGGAGGTAAAGAAAAGGGCGGGCAAGGCGCATGCACGTGGGCTTCTTGCGGACAGAGGAGGCGAGGCGAAGGTAAGGGGCTGCCTTTTCACGCAGGAAAGGTAGCGGGTAAGGGGGTTGCTGAAAGAAGTAGGGCTTGGCTTGAGGATGGAGGGAGCAAGGTGCTGCCGGGGGGGGACCTGGGTTCCTTTTTCAGGCCCCCTCCTCATTATTCCCCCTCCTTGTCCCATGGTTCCTTGCAAGACAAGAGCGCCCCTGAGCATAATCAGAGTGCCTACCTGCCTACCCGCATCAGCAACCAGTTAGTTACCTGCCCGTGCTTCGGATCCCACGTTGATTATCTGCCAGTTTGCACAACAGCTGCTCAGTTGGTTATGTCCCATTAATGTCAACTTTAAACCAGTGCAGAAATAGATTTTTTCCTGCATGATCACTAATTAATCTCATATTTGGGGGTCTTTCAGGCAGTGCACTCATAGCTGTTGTCCATCCACCAAATTTATTAGAACTACTATACGGTCTGGGGAAAATGGTATGTCTGGTTAGACAACAGAAAGAAAAGATAACTTAAAAGTTTAAATTGTAAATAGTGTATGTATGTATGTATGTATGTACAGGAGAATGGACTAACTGATGTCACAAAAAACTGCAAAAATGTATATAGAATTTGTTTTTAAAGGTGAAAATTCAGTAAAATTAGTTTAAAAAAAAGAACTACAGAATGAATGTGCGTAACAATGCATTGCACACAAAGGGTTGCCTTTTGGGGGTTTTCCTGCCTTGCACTCTGATCCCTTTCCATCATATAAATTTGATAATAGAATGGTCATATTAGAAATGGAACGGATTTATGCTTTTTAGCATGAGCGTTATAAGTACCGGTAGTAAAGGTAAGATATATCTCAAAACATGAACAATCTAAAATGATTGTTGCTATCTCTAGTCATCTGGACTGGTTGTTGATACTTCAAACAAACTAAACTATCATAGTTACAGAGCTGGTGTTGCATAAACACAAAAGATTAGATGTTAAACACCTATTTATATAGATGTTTTTTTCCCTCATCATGCAATGCTAAGTTCAAATGCTCCAAATTGTAAACTTGAAATGGCCAATCTCCTACAGGTTAAATAAACAAAATAAAACTGCCCTTGTTTATCATTTTTATAGTGTTTTAATTGGTGCTTCCTAAAAGTAATTATGCCTTCAGACAGTAAACATTACTACCTATGTGCTGCAAAGCATCAGCATAGATATTTTCTTCCAGATTTTTTTCAAGAAATTAAGGAGATTATAATTGAACATTTTAACCACGAGTAACCAATTAAGCTATCATTTTTCTCATGACTTTGGGTTGAAAAGCCATTGAGAGAGAAGAAAGGGCTACATTGATACCAAAAGCATTTAAAATAAACTCGTATGCAGCAATTTCAACTACAGCTTAAAGTTTCACATTCATAAAAGTAAGTTTTTAAATTTCTAGACACCCCCAAATTTGTTTTCTTAGATTTTTAATCTGAGAATTAGATATTCGGTCATCCTGGCTACATTCTACATTCTACAACTAACTTTGGTTAGTTGCAAGTTCTTTAATTTTTTTATAACCATTCAGCAAGCAAGATGCTTAAAAGGCTTTTTTTTTTCCTTCTCTAGAAAGAAAGAAAAAACAAACATTGGTACTACTGATTTTTAACCAAATCTGGTTAGTCTCAGTTGAATGCTATAGATTCAATTTAATAGCTGAGAAAATGTAATTTCAAGGGGATTATAAGGATTCAGGTTTATAGATTCATTTTATCATTTTTAGTGTGGGTAAGAAAGAGGCTAATGTTTGGGTTTCATAATTATATGATTTAAAAAAGGTTTATTAGACTGCCGTTGTTTCCATTTTCAAGCTATAGATTATTATAACCTAGTTATAGGTTATTATTTCTAGTTCTCAATTTATGACCATAACTGGCATCTGAATTTCTAATTGTTAAGTAGTCAGGGCTGATTTTACAACCTTCATGGTCATTACAGTTATTAAATGAATTACATAATCATTAAGCAAATCTGGCTTCCTAATTGACTTTGTTGGAAGCTGACTAGGAAAATCGCAAATAGCAATCTCCTTATCTCTGAACAATGCAACTTTCATGCCAGTTGCCAAAGGGCTTGAATTTTGATAACGTAGCTGTGGGAATGTTGCAATGGTCATAAGTGTGGGGACCGGTTGCAATGGTAGAATTGGTCTCAAGCATGTACCAGTTCCATAAGCCTTGGTCTCCTATCCATCACCTGTCAAATATATAAAAATGGGCTGAAAATAAATAAATAAATAACATGGATAAATTAAAATGATAGTTTACTAACATCTAGGTTCATGTCATCCTCTTTCCAGCAAAGTTGTTTTAATAATTGTATCTTTAAGCACGGTATAATCTTTCTCTATGGAAGAAATACTTTATTTGTTAAAATACTGAAATACTTGGCAGTTTTGCTGTCGAAAGCTATAAAATTCAATGAACACAATGAACAAAAAGCTAATTTAGCTGGAGTCTGTTTGTATAATAGACTATATTTGTATAGCTCCCATTTAATCTGTGGTTAGAAAACACTGTGGAACACACACGTGTCAGTTTTAAGTGGGCCATAATGACCTTGTATTCCTAAACAAGAACTGCTATTAGGGTAGGGGATACAGCATTGTGTTTGCAGGCCTCTTTCCCCTTTATCTGTAACTGTCATCTACCAGACTTCTCCAAATTGATAAGAGATCTTCCAGCATTGTAGTTTTGTTAATGAATCTGTGCAGCTAAAAACTTTCTTGTAGCAGCTCATATTAGCAGCCGTGATACAAGACTGTGACAAATAATCCATTTTCTTGGTCTACCAATGATATCTTTAAGGTGATGGGTTAATCAGATAATTAATAGAAGCTATGCAAGCTTATTGCTGGTGTTGTTATGGCTAATAACGCCATGCTTACTGGGATAGGAAATGAAAGTTTAAACGCACAAAGCTTAAATGCACAAATAAATTGGCACTAGACAAGGATCAATGGAATTCACCAGGGGGGAGGGGCTGGACTTGGGTCTCTTGTAGCAACGCAATGACTCCAAACTAATGACACGTTTAACTCAGCCTGCTCTTCTGGAAAAATACCATCAGTTGCCTGTATTAGTCATATGTTGCATAACGTGAAATTAGTATCCAGCTTTCTGTAAACACTTGCTTGGCATTTCTTCTTGATTGTCACTGCTGAACTGCAAGAAAATGCAACCCTTGAACCCAATGGCTTTGCCGCGAACCATTGGGTCACGTGTTTGAGTTGCAAAGTCAGACATTTGAGTAGCAACAACAGCTTTATCTCTTCCCTTCAGCCTGCTTCCACTTCTGTCCCAAGCACAAAGCACAATTCCAAGAACTGAATTCAGATTAAGAGACTAAGGAACTCCGTTGCAGAAGCCTGTACATTGTATAAATCTACTGTTTGGGTAGGGGCTCAAATCCTTCTCTAGTCACATATTGTATTGATCTTTTTTTTTTCCAGAATGTTTGAGACTATAATTTTTTTAAAAAAAAAATAGATAAAAGAGCAAAAGGTGTCTTACAATAAGAAATACAGAGAAACTATTAGTGGAATTGTAATTGTTTGTACTAATTAGTACAAAAGAAAAAAACATTCATTCTCTAAAGCAGGGGTGTCAAACACAAGGCCCGCGGGCCAAATCCAGCCCGCCAGACCTCGTCTGATGGCCCGCGGTGCCGCCGCCAGCCTTGCAGCCTCCCCCTTTTTTTTTTCAATGAATTTACTCCGTGCCTGCACGGAGTAAATTCATTTTAAAAATGGCTCAAGTTAAAAAAAAAAAAAAATTTACTTACCTTCCGGGACCTGGCCCGACTTCTTCCTGCCCCGCACTGCTCCCTGGGTGTCGGACGTGACGTCATCACGTGACGTCCGCCCGACATCTCCAGGGATCAGAGGAGCGCGCGGACGCCGCGGAGAGGAGCAAGAAGAAAGAAGTAAAAGAAAGAAAGAAGTAAAAGGTAAGTAAAGTAAATGGAGGGGGCAGATGGCTGGGCACGGATTGCTACAGCACAAGACCTAACGCCAAACATCGATGGACTGACCTTAGGAAAACGATGTCAGCCATCTAGTCAGTAAAGTTAAAAAAAAGGTAATGCCTTGTGTTTTCCATATGTTTAATAAACAGTGTTTGGCAATATTTGTATGTTTAAAAAAAAATTAATGTTTGTTACCAAAAAACATTTTTCAATACATTGTACAATAATTGTACATTTGAATATCTACTTGTCATTATTCTGACTATGTTTCTGCTTTCAGAGCTAGTTATTACTTACATTATTACAAAAAACAGTAATAATTGAATGCAGTGACATTAATTTATGATAATAAAGAGTGGACACATAGACCTACAGATACAACCGGCCCTTTGATGGGGACCAAACTGCTGATGCGGCCCCCGATGAATTTGAGTTTGACACCCCTGCTCTAAAGCAACAAGAATTTATCATGGTTGGGGATTTGGGCGGTATAGTTTTTCAATTAGGGAATATAAGATGGTTAGGCTGGCCAGTTTAATCAAACCAATGTCAAAAGTGAGTTCCTAAATCAATGTTCCTCAGCCTGCAAAACTTCAAAATAAGGGGACTCCAACTACTCTGAGAATTCCCCAACCAGCATAGTTATTGGAGAAATTTTGGGAAATCAGAGCTGCATATCTAGAAGTTGCTCAGGTTGAGAAATACCGTGGGAGACTTTAAAATGGTATGTTGAGTGGTCTTTTATGTGTGCTTTTGGAAAAAAGAGAGTCCTGTAGCTTTTGATTGGTCAATTTAAAGTGCTATAAATTACTGTTCATTATTATTAGATTATAATGGGTGAGATCCTTTATTAGGTGTGAGTTTGCAATTACAAAGCCATGTAGAAGACCCAGGAGTGTGTGGTCTTCTAGAAAGTTCTATATTATCTGAAAACAATATCTTAAACTTTTGTTAAGTAATAAGAGCCTCAGTGACGAAGTGGTTAGAGGGCAGTACTGCAGGCTACTTCTGCTGACTGCCTGCAATTTGGCAGTTCGAATCTCACCAGGCTTCAGGTTGACTCAGCCTTCTGTCCTTCCAAGGTGGGTAAAATGAGGACCCAGATTGTTGGGAGCAAGAGGCTGACTCTGTAAAACCGCTTAGATAGGGCTGCAAAGCACTGTAAAGCGGTATATAAGTCTTAAATGCTATTGCTATTATGTGTCAGATGACAATGGACTGCCATTTATAATCTTCCATATTTATTCTGTAGCCACTTAATGCATTCAGAAATTGTTTCTTAGCTTCTCAAGTCATCCTTGAGAGAAAGTATTGGGTTATGCGCTAATTAGTTGTGTACATTAAATATAAGCCGTTGCCTACATAATTCCATTAAAAAAAAAAAAGGACTGTTTCCATCCAGTAATGTGCCCTCACTCCTATACAATTAGCCACAAAAAGGCAACCTGACACTTCCAAATTTAAATAACCTTTTGTTCTATTGCAGGAGGCAGGGTAAACTTTCCAAGGGACTACTTAAAAAGAAATTGCTGATGTCGTGTCTTTAAGACTGCCTTGGCAACCATGGGTGAATACAGTAGGTTTATAGATTGGGATAAGATGGATGCTACCATCCAGGCCGAAGATGAGAAGGAACTGACCGGCACCGAATTTCACACTGAAATGCTGAAACAACTGGCTCGCCAAGGTCACTGGGCCAAGAGCCACTCTTTAAGAGCCAAAGTATATGACAAATTGATCAGCTCTATCCCTTGCCGCACGGTGACCCCCGATGCCCACGTCTACCAAGACATTGTGGTGAAAATTGTTGGCAAGAGAAACAGCAACACGCTTCCCCTTCCAGAATTCGTAGATAATAGCTTGGTCCCCACATACTGCCTGAACGCGGAAGGCATTGGCGCCATCAGGAAGATTATCTCTTGCATTGGGAACCAGTTCCCAGACATCTCATTCTGCCCGGCTCTGCCTTCCGTGGTGGCCCTCCTCCTTCACTACAGCAGGGATGAGGCCGAGTGCTTTGAGAAAGTTTGCCGCATCCTGGCCTGCAACGACCCCTCTAAGCACTTCATCGATCAGACCTTCTTGGCTTTCGAGTCGTCTTGCATGACATTCGGGGACCTGGCTAATAAGTACTGCCAGGCAGCTCATAAACTTATGGTGGCCATCTCCAAAGACGTGCTGGAAGTCTACTCGGATTGGCACCGGTGGCTCTTCGGGGAGCTGCCCCTCGTTTACCTCGCCCGCGTCTTCGATGTGTTCCTGGTGGAAGGTTACAAGGTGCTCTACCGGGTTGCCTTGGCTCTCCTCAAATTCTTCCACAAGTTCAGAGTTGGGCAGACCCAGGAGTCGGAAAACGTACAGCAGGACATCCGAGCATTCGTGAGGGACATCGCGAAGTGGGTCTCTCCCGAGAGACTGCTGGAGAAAGCTTTCGCCATCCGTCTCTTCTCGCGGAAAGAGATTCAGCTTCTGCAAATGGCCAACGAGAAGGCCCTGCAGCAGAAAGGCATAACGGTGAAGCAGAAAAGGTAGGGGCCCTTCAGCATCTTCCCTAAAAGCTTTTTTTAAAATCTAGGGACTACATTCTTGCATTGTGGGGAATAAATGCTATTATAAAATCAAGCGTATCTGTGCTCAGTTTCAACCATTGTGAAAATATAGATAATCTATACAGTATATGTGTATATGTGAAAAAGTCAGTTTTTGGAAACATGACAAAGCATAAAGTTTTAGGAGTAGAGTATAGTAGGCTGTATAGAGTCGAGTAGAGTAGAGTAGGAATAATAGGAATAATTAGGATAGGATAGAATAGAATAGAATAGAATAGAATAGAATAGAATAGAATAGAATAGAGTAGGAATAGAATAGAGTAGGAATAGGAGTAGGAGTAGGAGTAGGAATAGGAATAGAATAGAATAGAATAGAATAGAATAGAATAGAATAGAATAGAATAGAATAGAATAGAATAGAATAGAATTTCTATTGGCCAAATGTGATTGGACACACAAGGAATTTGTCTCCAGCACATAAGCTCACAGTGTATTTATCATACCTCTAAGTTTAATTGAATCAAAGAGAACAACCTCAGCAGATTGTTTTTTTCTGTAATTTGTCACGTTACCCAGCAAATATTAGGTTATTTTTCCAGAATATTTCTTCAGGGGCAAAATGGCGACCTCTGGATCAACTGGACAGCATTTTCAAATCACGATAGCAAGCGTGTAAGGCATTAAAGCCCACAAGTGTGAGGATTAAAAAAATTCCTCAAATTAAGCATGGGCCAGGATTAATACGCCTCTTAATCCTTATATGTGGGGGGGGGGGGGCTGGATCAATATTCTGTATATTGCTAAAATTGTGGCCAAAACCAGTAGTTGACGAGATATGGCAATTTTTTTGTATAACCTTGAAGAAAAAAAGTTAATGTTCCATCCCATTTAGTTTGAAGGAACTCTTGCGTCTACATTTTTCTTCAGCATTGGAATCCAAATTTAAACCATTCCTGACAAGTGGTTATCTAGTGAAGGAGATCCCAGTGGGAATTCCTCTTAAAACATTTCCGCAGTGCTGCAAGATCTTTCCTAGTAAAATCTGCTTTCTGATAACTTAAATCATGTTGCATGTCTAGAACTTGGAAGAATAGTTTTGCCCATTTATGTGATCACTTTTTAGGGATTTGAAACAGAAACTTCAGTGAAAAAAATGGTTTCCCAGCTGCTGCCTGACCCCAAAATAGAAAAGCTTCAAATAATTTAGCAGCAAAATCAGTAATTGATATTTCATGCTCATAAAGGGCATCATTTCTATAGCTATATAACTCTATTCCTGTAGCTTTTGCATTCAGTTTCCCACAAACCTTATCGTTCAGCAACCTCCGGTTAATATATCCCCTGCTTCTGGCTTAAAAAAAGAAAAAGAGCTTGTGAAAATTGATGCCAGAATGAACTTTTAACAGAGTCTTTGGTTTAATAACACCTTCGCTGTATTCACACATTCAGATTCGCTTAGCAGTGATAAGAATCTAAAAATGACTTTTAAGACTCCTTTCTAATGGATCCTTCGGTATCTTGCTCCTGAAATCATAAGGCATAATCTGCTATATGTATTGATGATGCTTTTTAAAATCCCTGTATTTGGGGAAAACAAAGATGAAAAGGATTTGTTGAATGGACAAATGAACTCGAGTCAGGAAAAGTAAATTAAAATAAATGAATTAAACCAAAGATCCTTTCTTCAAAAAAAAAAAAAAAAGAACTGGGCTTTCTTTGTTTTTCTTCAAGTTCTGAAGAAGAAGCTTCTTAGATAAGAAGTGAAACATCTTCAAGGAAAAACTAAGTCCAGTTGCCTTTTGACCTGGAGGACTGAGAATCTCCATAGATAAATGAACTAGAAATCAGAGTGAGGGAAATTCCTATAAAAGAAATGTGGCCTAGAAAATTTAAAAACCATTGAAGGAATTAAGAACTGACTTAAGGAAGGAAGGGGGAGGGAGGGAGGGAGAGAGAAGAAAGAAGAAAGAAAGAAAGAAAGAAAGAAAGAAAGAAAGAAAGAAAGAAAG